ATGTTATATTTCTCGATGACCCAATTCACCCGCGCGTATCGCTGCGCGTCGTGTCGCCTCGTCGAACAATCTGGATGAATATTTTGATAACGCATCTCCGGTCTGTTGCATCGTTTTGCAATTTAGATGCTGATGTACGAGCAGTATTATTTTATTGATTCTTTTAGCTCAAGTATTCAAAATATTTGCGATGGAGAATAGTGGGCATCTACGCTCTGCCATTTGACAATGTCAAATTCAACGCGTCACGTCGAGACCGGATACCGCAATCCCCACACCCCTTTTACTCCCTTTTGGCTTTTTGCCGGAGCAACGTTCAATCTCATTAGCAGTCGCCGACACGCCGTTGACAGAATTTCTGACGTTTCGAATGCGCACATCAAGAGTCGCATATCGAGATTCGCACCGAATCGATCGCGACCGAAGTCATGAGAACGACAATACATGGTCGTTACGTGGATATGTTTCCTATGTTTAGGCAACGTGAATTGTATACATATTACTGACGTTGACAGGAAGAAAAGCAAGAAACGCGGAAACATATCGAGTTCTCCATAAATTCTGCGGTACAATGGGGACAATGCGTTAAACGAAATATACAACACGGAAAGAAAAAATATCTCTTTCGTTGTATTTAGTATAAATTATAAAAAAGAGAAAGGGAAAGAAGAAGAAAAAAAAAATCGCTTATTTTCAATTTCAAAAGTGTAATTCGTCCAGTATTAATTATCGGTACGCGAAATAAGTGCCGAGCGTTCATTAATGCGAAGAGCGAAGATTCGTGCACTGAATTTTCATTGGCAGATTTTAGCCTCTATATTCACCAATTAATTACGAGACGATTCATCATCGAGAGCACCGAAGGCTACATCGCGGGCTTTAATTAATATGACATACGATTCTTTCAACTGTTTATGTCTGTGAGAGTATTAACTCGATATCATGGGAGAATTCATGCGGGCTTCATCTACGATGGATACATTTCTTGTTCGCGTGGTGCTCGCGCAATCCGCGCAACTCCGATGTTGGTACCAAAGACACAAAATGTTCCAAAGGAACAAAAACGCGCAATCTATTTATGTATGAATATTTTACTGTGAAACTGTCTCTTTCCCCCCTTCCCCCCTTCCCCCCCTCTCTCTCTCTCTTTCTCTCTCTTTCCGTATAATGAGCAAGGTGAGAGAAATTTACCGCGTAAAGATAAATAATTCAGTGAACGTGTGAATAACAAGTAACAAACTAAACTATGAGCATAACAATGAACATGAATATAACAATTCAAATTATGCAACGTCATAAAATTTTCCATAGTCGTAACATAGTTGTAATTCTTCGTAAAATTGTTATTTGCGCGCAAGTATTTATAAATATTGCAAATATTTAAACAATTTAATCGTATTTTTTAACATTTGAGCGTCAATTACGCTGTCGGATTACGTCGGATACGCAAGCGGGCACGAAAAATGAAAGGTCCTGTGGAAGATGCTTGACAAAATTAATTAATGTCGACATTGCTAGCGTGTTATTTTCCTTCCTCTCTCACCGTAACAAATTAATCCTGCTGCAGATCAAAGGGAGAGACTACCTTGCGCTGATTCCAGTATACATTTTGCGGAATCGCGAGAATTTCCACAGGTAGATAAGACGAATCTCACAGGACTGGAATTCCAAAGAGAAAACCGTGATTTCTCATTATTCTTATCCATTCTATTCTCGCGCACTTTTAACCTGATGTTAGACGGTAATCAAAAGACAGATATTACGTCTGTATTGCAATAAACCGCAAATATTTTCCTATAAGACACGCCATGAAGTTTCATTAGAAACATAAAAGAATCCATATAATTCGTGTGTATTGCTCATTGTATGAAACATGTCCAATTTAATAAAAAACAATTATTATGCCCTTTGATTTTTTACATTTCACTATTTAATTATCTTTATTTTATTTAATCAAGAAGGCTATTCGCTTCTCGAATTGTATTACTTCCGTTTCTCTCTTTTATATATATTTCTTTTTGTATTTTGTATTTTCTTTCTTTGTACATTAAGCGCAATTTTTTATTTTGCAAAGATCAAGTGATTTCACATTACTTTTCTAATGCTCATGGAATTTCTCTTGTTTGATATTACTGGCAGAAAGAGAAAATTTATCTTTCTAATTCTTCCGTAATCGCAGCTGTCCGTTTCGAACACGAGTTGTATGCCTCAGCATTGTAATAATTATCGCTCAAAAGCCCATTTCTCGTCTCTGTCGATATCAATGCAGCCCGATAACTGCCGCTGGAAAGAGTCATTCTCATACCCGCATTGAAGATGTCGGCGACGTTAATTACAACTAGGGCAACTCTTGAATCTTTGTAATTAAACATTATATTGCTTCGTAGCAAAAAAGAGATACGTCTGGCAGCGATATATTTCATTACATTTGCTGATGTTTGCTCGACAAAAATTTTAATTATAAACATCGACTCGTCCCATTTCTATTTTTTACATTCATTATGCGAAAATCTCATTTCAAGAATCATCGATTAATGATTCTTTATTGAATATGTGGAACACAATATGTGTCTATTAGGAATTACTCTCTATTTTATTGTCCAATATAACACATACTTACATTCAAGCTTTTGTATTTGTACATAAGTAGAGAAAAATGCGGGATATGCCTATAAATTTCCCAGAGTTGTAGGTTCAATAACGTAGCGTTTATCATCTGCAGCAGAAAAATATCCCATCACGAAATTGCCCACAATAAAACGGCACGTCGCGTTACGTAGTTGGAAAATCTCAGGCTTTATTCATGGTAATTCATGAAACTTTTACTCAGCTAAAGAGACGCGCTCATAAACTATGGTTATACTTTAGAAAAATCTATCGATTACTCGATCCGTTTGTTAAAAAAAAGTTGACCTCTCATAAACAAATACTCTCCTTCTTTCTGTATTCTTGGTTCATCCTAATAAGTTGTCCTGGCGTATTAAGAAGTATCTTTGAGAAACAAGTTTCAAATACATATATATGTCTAAAGTCAGGCACGGAAGAAGTTCTGCGGTGGGTCTCAGCAGCGGGATGAGTAATGGGAAGGTCTGGGTACTGTAGCGAGCAGTTTGTCGTCGAAACTAACCAAGGTCCCTGGCAGCTCATTTCGCAGCAGGGCACGTAATTCAATTTCCATGTAGCGATTCCCCTGTTCTGGTCTCATGCTCGACCCTCCCTGCCTAAACCGGGCAAGACCCGAAATTATCTCAGGGCGTCACTTTACCAGGCACGAACGCATTCTCGGGATGTTTGCACGCACCACGAATGTCAAAGCAAGTCTATTATCACATCATGCCTGCCCATGGTTTATTATATTATACAAAATAATGCTAATAAGATTATTATTAATCTCAAATAGTTTGTCTCTATTTCGACATTCTC